AATGCTGCCTAGCTAGCGATGCCCTCATCTGATGAATGAATTAAAAAAAAATACAGCCTAACTGATTCCTGATCCTGAATGAGACAGTACTATATTCAAGAACTGTTTATGTGCAAGTAAGGGGAGAGGTGGTGATGGGATACTGCATTCCGGGGAATTATTTCAGTGGCGAGCTGAAAATATACATATTGTATATGTGTATATATATATATTTATATATATATATAGTATATATACTATATGCACTTAAGTGTAACACCTGCAGTCCTGCATTGACTGCCCACCCCTGCACCCCCCTCATAGTTATCTCCTTTTTCTTTGTGCCTGAAGTTTGATTCCTGACCCCTTCCAAACTCTGTCCTATTACTTGTTCTGGAGACTTTAATAAGTTTTCCTGAGCCCTCCTTCCCCTTTTCCAGAATTTTCCGTGCAACTGAATCCATGTCTCCACTATTTAGTTTCCAGCCCTATCCACCTAACCTTAAAACACTACAGCCCACGTGCTGTAGGTACACCCATGATGCTGATATGAAAATGGTTCCACAGTATGGACTTAGCGTCAGTTAAGTTCCCAAGTTAGCTTGGTGAGTGGCTGGGAAGGGAACTTGCAGCGAGTGGTGTTCCCATGTATCTGTTGCCCTTTGTTCTTCGGGACGGAAGAGTTGAACTCTCTGGAAAGGTCCTGTTGAAAGAGCGTTGGTTAGTTGGTGCAGTGGCACACAATAGTGGGTTGGTGATGGATGGATGTAGTGCCTATTAGGTAGGTCGCTTTGCCATGGATGGCATTAGAAGCGTATTAGATGCTGGGAAACTGGGATTAGCTGTGTGCTGTTCTTGTTTCCCTACTGGTGGTGGCTTCCACATCCCAACAGGCAGACAATATGACCTCAGGGAGTACGACTATCCATCAGTACCCACCATCTTCCAGTATCATGCGCTACCACTCCGAGCAACTGCGTCAGAGTATCTCACTTTTCATCTGACACTCTGACCATGCAATCTTCTTTCATGGCTGGCCAGACGAGACTGTAAAAGTTAAAGGAAACGCAGGGCTGCTCTCTCATTTGAGAGAGAGAGAGGGAGAGACACGACTGGTGGAGGTTTAATCCGAGGGTCACTGTGCTTCAGACGAGGGGACAGCTTGAGATGGAGAGCCCTTCATGGTAACCCCACTTGTTGTGGGAATTGAACCTACACTCTGCGTGGCAAATCAGCCATCCAGCCAAATGAGCTGCACTGAGAAACATCAGGGGCACAACAACTGCCTGACCATGCCGTGGATTATTAGTTAAGCTTATTAGTTAAACCGACACTACAGCACGCCTGCTCATTGAACCAGTAATATGCCCTGTGTGTTGCCTATTGTAGTTTATCATACCAGCAACATGGCATCTGGAAAACCCATCTGGTTCACTAATGTCCTTTAGGGAAGGAAACTGCCATCCTTACCTGGTCTGGCCTACATGTGACTCCAGACCCACAGCAATGTGGTTGACTCTGAACTGCCCTCTGGGCAATTAGGGATGGGCAATAAATGCTGCCTAGCCAGCGACGCCCTCAATGAATAATAAAAAAAAATGACGCTGACATCCCTTAAATCATACATTCAATATTATAACCATTGAATTGGTTTATCCTGTATTAGTAGTCCTGTACCATAGAAACTGCACCATCATACAGTGAATTAACACTGAAATAAAACAACGCTATTACTGTAACCTAGTTTATAAATCCATGAACAATGCTGTACTCACACACACAGCTAATTAATTCAGCATTAAACCATTACACTGCCACTCTTCTCTGTTTCTGGCTGTGAGAAGATAATGCGTCTAAATACTTAATTAGACGAAGGATGTACTTGCGTTGGAGGCAGTTCAGAGGAGTTTCACGACACCGATTCCAGCGATGAAAGGGTTTGTCTTATGAGAAACCATTGAGCAGTTTAGGCCTTTACTGTGTGGAATTTAGAAGAATGAGGGGCGATCTGATTGAGGTATGTAAGATCCTGAAGGGGATTGACAAAGTAGACGATCAGAGGATATTTCCTCGTGTGTGGCAATGTAGAATGAGAGGTCATTGTTTTAGGATAAGGGTTTAGCAGACTTAAATCAGAGGTGAGGAGAAATTACCTCTCTCAAAGGGTTGTGAATCCGTGGAATTCACTACCCAAGGTGCAGCAGATGCTATGGCGATCAGTAAATCTGAGGAGGAGATACACAGCTTTTGAATTAGTGATGGACTGAAGGGTTATGGAGGAAAGTGGAGGTGGGCCTGAGATGAGATCAGCCATGATCATATCAAATGGTGGAACAAGAACAGGGGAGCTGAATGATCTCTTCCTGCTGCTAGCTCTTATGCTCTTATGTTCTAGAATAACCTGTGTCTTGCTGTACACTGGAATAACATAGTCACTCCAGGAACATTACATGCCCATTTAGGAGAAATAACTACAGCATTTCTGCACACAAGGTAGAAAGAGAACCAATCTAGGACTGCATCCTGGATTATTAGCCTGGGTTCGATTCCACCCTCAGCCAACTGTCTGTGTGGAGTTTGCACATTCTCCCCGTTTCTGCATGGGTTTCCTCTGGGTGCTCCGGTTTCCTCCCACAGTCCGAAGATGTGCAGGCTAGGTGGATTGGCTATGCTAAATTGCCTGTAGTGTTCAGGGATGTGTAGATCAAGTGGGTTATAGGGTGATGGGTCTGGATGGGATGCTCTGTGGGTCAGTGTGGACTTGTTGGGCCAAAGGGCCTGTTTCCACACTGTAGGGATTCTATGATCTATGAACATAACCCAAACCTGAGCCTCACAGTCTGAGAATGAGGGCCAGAGCATTCAGGAGAGATGTTAGGAAGGACTTCTACACGCAAATGGAGCTATATGTTTGGAACTCTCTTCCAGAAATGGCAGTGGATGCAGGATCAATTGTTCATTTTAAATCTGAGATTGATAGTTTTTTGTTTCGTTCAGCAAAGGTATTAGGGGATTTGGGCCAAAGGAAGGTTTTTGGAGTGAGTTCATCCATGATCTCATTGAATAACAGAACAATGATAAGGGACTGAATGGCCTACTTATGTTGCTATGTCTGGGCCACCCAACCCAACACCAATCAGTCCAATGTTGCACAGCGACCTTGAGGAGATTCACTTTATAACCCCCCTAAGAATCAAGAAGCCGTCTGTTGCTCTCTGTGAGAAGATAGTCAATCATCCCAGAAGTAAGATCCCAGAGATCCCAAAATACTCACCGGCTGTAGAAAAGGCAATCAGCAGTGTTCCTGTGGTGTACATGGATCTGAAAAACGTTTATGGAGAGAGGAAAGAAAAACATAGTTCATTTTAAACTGGTATCACTTGCATCTATGTCCATCTCCCCTCAGACGTGCTCCCTCCTGAATTCTCAGACTGTGGTCCGTCTTTCCTCCAATGCCTCCATTTCTCCTCCGTTTCAATATTTACTCCTCCTGCTGCCCATCCGTCTCCGACGACGTCCCTCACTCTCACCCGTCCCACCCATCCCTTCGCATTCCCACTCCCATCCATTGCCTTGCCTGGCCAATCATGGTATCTTTCTCCATCCCCACTTCCCTTCCTGACCGGCTCCTGCTTCCCCACCTTGCGCAGCGCCACAGGTGCTGCAGGGACCCTGTCCCTCCCAGCGTCCAAAGTACTCACATGGCCATGAACTGGGCAGGCATGGTGCCAAGTTGATCGAAGATGAAACCGCCAGGGAGGGTGGTGAAACTGTCCATGAAGGAGGCCATCGTGAAAATGAGAGCGAAACGCTCATCCTGGAGGTGACAGTCCACTGCGAAAGTGAGAAGGAGAATGACTCTGAGATAGGGGGCGAGCGGGAAGGTAGGGGATTCAAATCTGAGTTCCTGGAAACGTTGGCCAAAACAATACCACCAGGCCACTGCCTCCCCAACTGTATGTACCCTTACCTGTGCCATTACTGTCTCCAGGCTCGCTGGCGTTGTGCGGCGAGGTACAGAGGTCATAGAAATAGCCCTCCTCCTTCAGTACGAAGACCAAAGAGGCCCAACCAAAGATTGCACCAGCGAAGCCAAGGCATTCGAAGATCCCTGAGGTGAACGTCAGGTAACGCTTGACTCTCTCACCCAGGGGCAGCATTTGACTTGATTCTGTGGAAACCCCCTTCACTACTCAAGAGGTAGGCCTGAAAACAGAAGCAAGAGCTGTTGTTAAAACTAAAACAAACATATTTCACCTTTCCAGGGCGAGAATCGAAAATAGAACAGAAACCAGGGAGTTGGGTTGATATGGAGCAGTGGCAGGGATTGTTAGCTTAAAGGTCAAAATTCCTGTTACATTTTTGATGCAAAGTGTGGTTCAAACAATCGGAAGCCTCCCCTCCAGTTTCTACAGGGTTTCACACCCCCGACAGTAATGCAGCACTCCCTCAGTACTGACCCTCCGACAGTACGGCGCTCCTTCAGTACTGACTCTCCGAAAGTATGGCACTCCCCCAGCTCTGACCCTCCGGCCCACCTCCAATATTGACCCTCCAACCATGCTGCACTGCCTCATTACTGATGCTTTGATAGTGCACTGTTTCCTCAGTACTAGTCCTCCGACAGTGTAGCATTCTCTCAGTATTAACCCTCCGACATTTCACTGCTACCTCAGCACTGACCCACTGACAGTGCGGCACTCCCCCGGTACTGACCCTCCAACAGTGCGACACTGCCTCAACACTGACCCTCCAACAGTGCGGAACTCCCTCAGCACGGACCCTCTGGCAGTGTGGCTGCTCTCTCAGTACTGACCCTCCAACAGTGTGGCGCTCCCTCAGCACTGAGCCTCCGACAGTGTGTCGCTCCCTCAGCACTGAGCCTCCGACAGTGCCCACTCCCTCAGCAGTGACCCTCCGACTGTGCGGTGCTCCCTCAGTACTGACCCTCCGACTGTGCGGCGCTCCCTCAGCACTGACCCTCCAACAGTGCCCACTCCCTCAGCAGTGAATCTCCGACTGTGCGGCACTCCCTCAGTACTGACCCTCTGACAGTGCGGCACTCCCCCAGTACTGACCCTCTGACAGTGCGGCACTCCCCCAGTACTGACCCTCTGACAGTGCGGCACTCCCCCAATACTGACCTTCCGACAGTGCGGCATTCCCTCAGCACTGACCCTCTGACAGTGCGGCGCTCCCTCAGTACTGACCGTCTGACAGTGCGGCACTCCCCCAATACTGACCCTCTGACACTGTAGCACTCCTTCAGAACTGATCCTCTACTCTGTATCACTCCCTCAGTACTGACCTTCTGACATGGCGGCATTTCCTCAGTATGGATCCTCCAACTGTGCTGCACTGCCTCACTACTGACCCTTTGACAGTGCACTGTTCCCTCAGTACTGACCCTGTATGACCAATGCCATACCCAATGTTTTTCCCTTACGCAGGGGCTGCCACCAAAGGAGGTTGTTCAGTCCTTCATATCCATTCTGGTGCTTCTCTTCCACTGTAACCTCCTCCCAAGCAACTTCTCAAGAAGGAGCTGTTGGACCCTTGGCAGATGTAGCAAGCAGAGATGGTCATTCAGTCCTGGTCTTTGTTATTGAGTAATTGACTCACACAGGATGGAAACAGAACCTTTGGCCCAACCAGACATTGCTGGCCATAATCGCAGGCAAAACTAGTTTCATCTACCTGCTCTTGGTCCATATCCCTCCAAACCTTTCGTTTTCATGTCCTTATCTAACACCTTTTCAACGTTGTAAATGTATCTGCATCCATCACTTCCTCAGAAAGATAATTCCACGCACAAAACACTCTCTGAGTTAAAAATAAGTTATCCCTCATGCCTTTAATAAATCTTTCTCCTCTTGCCTTAAAAATGATGCCTCCTAGTCTTGAAATCCTTGTCCTCAATTCAGTACACTTATGTCTGAACTGTGACCTAACTTCTCAATCCTGACTTTGTCCCTGATCCCATGAGAGCATTGGACTCAAAGCCATCCAACAATCACTTACTTAAAAAAAAACTGATGAAACCTTCTGGCATCAATTCCCACTCTCCAAGCAGAATTCCAAACTGTTGCTGCGCTTCGCTAAATCGTTCTTGAGTCCTGGACTCCCCGATCAACCCTAATAATTAGTTATATTTCCATCTTATCTATCACCATCAGTATCTTTCAATCCTTTCCGCTACTTAGCCGTCCAATTTCCAGTTTCAGTTCCTTTGTCGGTGCAAGCTCACTTTACAATGTAACTCATTAATGGCCAAGCCTAATCTTAGTAAATATTTGCTCCACCTCCAACGGAGCTAATATTTGGTCCCAAAGCTGGAATGCGCATTATTGTGCATCACAGGTCTTTAATCTCATCATTTTCGAAAAGTCAAAGTTCCAGCAATGGCTGGTGAGAGAAAATAAGTTAGCATTCCAAACTGACTGAAGCACAAACAGAAGTTACTGGAAAAGCTCAGCAGATCTGGCATCATCAATGATGAAAAATCAAAGTTAATGTTTCGGGACTGGTGGACCTCCTGCAGAACTCATGGCAACAAGGAAAATGTCAGTCTACATGCAGAAGATAGGGTGGAGGGAGTGGCAGAAGGAGTAAATGATAGATGGGGGTAGAGCCCAAAGAGAAAGGAGAACAGTTGGACAGACAAAGGAGTTGAAAACGATCTGGCTAGGAGGGTCAACAGCTGTCAATGGGGACTGTTAGTGACAAACAACAGGTGGTGTGTGATGGCAGGCTATGTGGTAACAAGGCCTGGTGTATAGAGTAGGGGGCTAGGAGATGGGAGAGTTTGATATTGAGTCCGGAGGGCTGTAGGGTCCCCAAGCGGGAAATGAGGTGTTGTCCTTCCAGCTTGCTTTGAGCTTCGCTGGATCACTGCAGCAACTCTGAGACAGAGATGTTGGCCAGGGAACAGGGTGGTGTGTTAAAGTGCCAGGCAACTGGAAACTCAGGGTCTTTTCTGCGGGCAGAACGTGGATGTTCTGTGAGGCGGTGACCCAGTCTATGCTTCGTTTCTCCAATATAGCGGAGAACACGTTGTGAGCAGTAAATGAAATAGACTCAATCTGGGAAGTGCAGGTAAAGAGCTGCTTCACCTGGAAGGTATGTTTGGGCCCTTGGATATGGGGAGGGAGGAGGTAAATGGACAGATATTACACCTTTGCTGGTTTCAGGGGAAGGTGCCATGGGGCTGTAGGAGTGTGTTGGGGGTGAAGGAAGAGTGGACCAGGGTGTCCCAGAGGGAATGGTCCCTGCAGAAGGTAGACAAGAAAGGGGAGGGGAATATAGGTCTGGTGGTGACATCTCACTGGAGGTGGTGGAAATGGTGTCTGATGATCGTCTGGGTGTGTATGTTGGTGGAATGGTAGGTAAAGACAAGGGGAACCCTATCGATGTTGGGGGAGGGAAGAGAGGGGATGAGGGCAGAGATGGGTCGGATCTGGTTAAGGATCCTGTCAAGAACGGTGCTGGGGAATCCTCGTTTGAGGAAGAAGATGGACATTTTGGAGGCTTCCTTGTCAAAGTTGGCCTCATCGGACCAGAAGGACGTAGACGGAGGAACTGAGAGAATGGGATGGAGTCTTTACAGGAAGTGGGGTGTGAGGTTGTATAGTCCAGGTAGCTGTGGGAGTCAGTGGCTTTAAAGTGGATATTAGTTGCCAGCCTATCCCTAGAAATGGAAACAGAGATGTCGAGGAAGGGAAGGGAGGAATCAGAGATAGACCAGGTAAAAGTGAGAGTGGGGTGGAATTTGGAAACAGAATCAATGAACTTTTCCAGTTTGGACGCAGCACTAATGATATCATTGATATATTGGAGAAAGAGTTGTGGGTGGGTGCCGGAATAGGACTGGAACAAGGAATGTTCCATGTACCCCACGAAGAGATGGCCACCCCCCGAAGTGAAGAAAATGAGAGGAGTTGGAAGAGAAATTGTTGAGGGTAAGGACGAGCTCGACCAAGTGGAGGAGGATGGTGGTAGGTGGGGACGGTTCAGGACTTTGCCCCAGGAAGAAGCTAAGAGCCCTGCGACCTTACTGGTGGGAATTGGATGAGTACAGGGATTACATGTCCCTGGTAAAGAGGAGGCGTCAGACAAATCACGGATGTATGTGCAGGGACTGGATTGGGGAGAGAAGGCTGTGTCAAGGTAGGAAGAGATGAGTTCTGTGGGGCCGGAGAAGGCTGAAACAATGGGTCTGCCTGGACAGTCCTGTTTGTGGGTTTTTGGAAGGAGGTAAAAGCGAGCTGTAGGGGGCTTGGGGACAATCAGCTTGGAGGCAGTGGTGGGGGGAGATCGCTGGATGAAATGAAGCCAGTGACTGTAGTTGATACAATGGCCTGATGTCCCATGGTGGGGTCATTGTCCAGGGAAAGATAAGGCGAGGTATCTGAGATCTCCAATGAAGCTTAGCATAAGCTAGAAGAACAACACCTCATTTTCCACTTGGGGACCCTGCAGCCCTCTGGACTCAATATCAAGTTCAATAATTTTAGGCCTGAAATCCGCTATGTCCTAGCCCCCAGCCCCACACATCAGGTCTTGTTATCACATTGTCTGCCATTACACACCACCTATTGTTAGCCACTACCAGTCTCCATTAACAGTTCACAAAATTAATAGTTATTCACCCTCCCAGCTGGATTGTTATCAACTCCTTTGTCTGTCCAACTGTTCTTCTCTCACTTTGGGCTCTATCCGCAGCTATCATTTATTCCTTATGCCTTTCCCTCCACCCTATTTTCTACATATAAACCAACGTTTTCTGAAGTACCATCAGTTCTGAAGAAGGGTCACCAGACCTGAAATGTTAACTTTGATTTTTCTTCACACACCTGGTGAGCTTTTCCAGCAACTTATGTTTCTGTTTCTGATTTACAGCATCCGTACTTCTTTTGGTTTTTATTCCAAACTGACTGAAATTGTCCCTACAGGATAATGCACCGACATTATCATTAGACAGCACACCTCAGGCAAGGGGAGAGGTTGAGAAGCAAAGTCTTTTTGTGGTCACCTCAGCCAGAACGGGAATTGAACCTGTGTTATTGGTGTTATTGTGCATTACAAGGCAGCTGTCCAGCCATTTCAGCTAACCGACTCATATTAATGCCTTTATATTGAATGTCTAATCAAAGGTTGGTTC